CTGCTGGCCACACCATTCCTGATCCAAGCCAGGATGCCGTTGGCCTTCTTGGCCACCTGGGCACACTGCTGGCTCATGGTCAGCCGGCTGTCAACCAGCACCCCCATTTCCTACCGCAGGGAAGGCTGGAACAGTTGAATGGTGATTTGGGGTGGAATAGTTGAATGGTGATTTGAGGCGGCTCCGACATCTTTCACAAGAAGGGAGGGGACCAACGGGGCGAGTGTTGCTTCTGCTCCTCAGGGCTGCCCAGACAACGCAGTTTATTTTGGGCAGAGCGCACAAGCAGCTCGGGTGAATGTGGGACAGGCCCGTTAATACTTGCTTTTATCGCTGAGAGACAGAGGATTGCTCATACGAACAGTTCTGAGAAGAGGACTTGCTCGGGTTTTAGGCCGTGTCCCGCTTTGTATGAGAAGACACTTCAGTATGCAGAACTGCGTATATGAGAGAAAAATGTCAGTCTGCAACGCTTGGAAAGTGCACAGTCGGTCAGTATAAATCCTGCTCTTCCTACAAACTGTTTGGGGTGCCCCGTGCTCGCTCACAGCGGGACAGGCACCGACCCACCCCGCAGGAGGAGCAGCTCCGAGGCAGATCTCTTTCCTAGATGAAACGGATGGCAAGAGCTCAGGAGGCTGCAGGGCTTGGGGCATTTGCAGGGAGGATTTACAGTACTTTGCCTTTTAACCGACAGCTCAGCTGACAGAGGACAAGCGTGCAGAACTTTGCTTGGTACAAAGGATTTTCAAAATCAAAAGCCTCAATTTAGAAGCCTAAACCAGTCCGTAAACGCCTGAGTTTGTGCCCTGCTTCTTTCCAGTGCCGAGCATCCAGGCTTCAGGTAAGACAGTGTAAGCTCCTGAATGCCCACACCTTAACAGAACAAGGCTGTTTGTCCAGACAAGCAAAGAGAGGAAAAGTGGGGGTTGTTCTCCTGCCACAGAGTCGTGTCACAAGCATGGACACTGCAGGGCCTCCCCCCGAGCCTCGGAAAGGCAGACCTGGTGCCAAAGGAGGCTGGGTGGGCCAGCAGCGTCTCCAAAAAAGCAGGAATCTCCACTCTGCCCAGTGCCTTCCCGGCTTACCAGTACGGCTCTGTTGACCCCAGTTATGGCTCTGGCCCTTCATCACGAGGCAGCACAATCCCGCGTTGCCTGTGCTGCTGGAAGCCCTGAGGTCCCTTGCGCTACGACCTTGTCACCGGCGGAGAGAAGCCGAGATGCCGATACGCGATTTCCTTGTTTTGCAGACCACGAGCCTCCGGCCTCCGCCGTGACGCACAGCAGAGGACAGGATAAATCCTCTGACCTGGCATTTCTTCTCTCTCGGGTCCCACACAGCACAGAAGCCAGACGCAGCACTGACGCCTCTGTGGTCCTACCACCAACTATGAAAACAGCAAAGCATCTTTAAGGCAGCATCAATCACGTGTTATGCCAGGTGGCATACTGCGGTTCGAGTGCCCTGTATTGACAGGAACACGGAGAATAACCCCACCTGGAAAACAGGACGTTTGGCCTCCCAGCCTTGTTGAAGGTCCAAGTGGCAAAGGAGACTTCTTCAACCGTTTCCCTCTAGGCTGACCGCAGAAAAGTTCCCCTTTCTTCTCAGCTAGAGGTGGTGCCCACAGTGGTAAATCTCCAATGTCTTAGAATACCTGTGTTCTAGAAAAAAAAAAAAGCAGTGTTTAACTGTAAGGCAATAAAGATCACTGTCTTTACTTGGAGGTGTCTGTACTAGAAGATGACACCATCTCACACCTAGGTACTTGATCCCATTATTTTTGGATCCTTCCTCTTCCCTCCCCTCTTCCTCCTGCCCCCATCTAGGGACACAAGCAAAACTTCACTTACACTGTGTCCTAAATTTCATAATATGAAGGTTCAGTGCTTTCTGCTTACTCTCCACTCAATGACGAACGAGTAATGTTCTGCTGCAGACGAAGTATTAAGCTTTATTCTGCACCAGCCCCAGTTTCAGTCTCTGACGGCGCGTGCATGGAAGACACACCAAGGGTGTCCGAGCCCCGCACTGGGCTGAGGCACTGGTTTGCTTTGCTGGTCCCCAGCGCTCAGCTCCACATCTTGCAGAGACGCACCAGGAAAAGGCACTTGTCAAAGATGCTGAACCACCCCGGGGAAATGGTTTTGAAATTGCATCCAGCTACACTCCCACCCGGGGTATTGTGCAACCTGGAATTCACAACGGGCAGCAAAAGCTTAAAAAGCAGGTCAGGGAGACAGCACTGAAACACGTAGTAACTGTGCCGACGAGCAAGAAATAAAGGACATGAGACTGATACAGCAAGCTGGACGTAGCTTTAGAGCCATCCTACTACACGCTGAGGTTTACATATTGATGCTATAAAGAAAACCATCACTGAGCCAGAACTATCAGGGAAAATCAATTTGTTGTGGTTGTTTTGTTTTTTTTTTAATTTGAGCAATTTCCAGCTATTTCAGAAGTGAAACTCACCTGCAAATCAACTGGATCCTTGTAGGCTTCCTTCCAGCCCCGTGCCCGGCTCTGCGCCCTCCTGGCCAGCTTGCCTTTTCACCTCCGGCACCCTCTCCTTGACGCTGCACGCTCAGACACGGTGGGGAAGCGCAACTCCCCCCGTCCTGGCAGGATTTTGGGAATTACTCAGCAATAAAAGCATCAGAAGGTAATCAGCGCTATCTGCCACTTACCGTTCCTCCTACAACCCTACTTCCGAGAGCGCGATCACCCCGGCAAAGAGAGAAAAGCGCTGCTTAGCTGTGGGGACTCACACCTGCCCCCTCTTACCTATTTCAGCTATTATATGCTTGTGCTAAATCTCCCACTGAGCACAGGCATATTTCTAAGTGTGTGTGTGTGTTTACATATATATATACACATATACCCACACACTATATACCTATATATTTCACCCTGGTAGAACCTGCAGTTCTTTACCTGCAGAATAATCATCCCCTCTGCCTTTATCAGAAGTTTTCTGCCATCTGCAGGGAGAGAAGAGTTGGGAAGGAGACAGACACGTGCCAAGAAAAGGCAGAAAAAGTGAGTCCCACTTGAAATCTGATAAAATAATGGAAAATCTGATTTTTCCTGCTCTGGTGGGGTACAGACAGTAAAACATAGTTGTAAACCATGAATGCTGTAGCCAAAATGAGACCTACTGCAAAAATGGAAAGAGAATCTGCTCCTTTCCAACAGCATCAGTAAACAGGTCTTTAGTCTGCTTGAACACATTTTTTCAGTATAAATTAAGAATTAATTAAGTTAAACGAACAAAGGATCCACGAGATAAAGCTACAGAGAAATTAGAGAGGAATCTACCACAGTTTTGAATATTATCAAGTCCACTCCCCTGAACAAAAAGAACATTTAAAACAATAAACTACTTCATTAACTCAGGACAGACCGCAGGCAGGTAGCAGATGGGGGGGTTCTCACCACGACTCAGCAGCCTCACAGCTAGCCCAAGGCAAGCCACCTTTACTAATAAAGGTATTTATTGAAAGCAAAGCAATCTCCCAGCTTGTTGTGTTTGATAACATTTTAATAACCCTGAAATCATGACTGCACTGGGACCACGTTTTCATCAGAGAAAATGTACAAGCAACTCGTTTCCAATGCATCTGACAGTAAAAAACAAACACCGGAGGCACACGCAAGACAAGGTGTCATCTTCACTTCTAATGAAACATTTCCATTAGAGAAGAAAACGGTGGGAGCGCGGGGGTTCAGAAGGGTCAACTCGACTGTCTTTGCACAGGCTGGACTGGCAAGGAGGATGGCGTCTGGCAACTTGCAGCGAGCAATCGTTAACCTGAGATGGGGTGGGTCCGCTGGAGGAAGCCACCTAGACCCCACTAGAACATGGGCACGTCAGCCGTCCGTCCTCCCTGGGGAAAGCCACCGGGTGGGCGAGTGCTGGAGGTGCCTCTCCCAGCCTCCGAGAGCACACGCTGCTTACTGGCAGAGACCCTCGGGGACGAGGGGGAGTGCGAGGGGACCGAAGCTGGGATGCTCCCGCAGACGTTAAGGTTTCACGGGTACGTTACCGCCTTCGAAGCGAAGCAAGGGCCCGGGTGCAACAGTCCAAGAGACCTGCAGGAAGCTCGCATCGTCCTGGGCGGGATGGGCCGTGGTGTCCTCTGGATTCCCGCTGAAGAGAACATCGCGAATCACAGACATTTCCAGACCTTTCCGGAGCCGCCGTTTACCTCGGGGTTTGGCGGGGAACGCCAGGCATCTGTACAGTTCACACACAGAGTTCGTCTGAGCTCGATATCGCATTTTCCAGAACTCCCCTGAACCTGGCCATGCAGGACTTGAGCGGAGATGGTACATTCAGCACCAACACGGCGACGCAGGCAGCACACCCGCCACTGGCACGACGCGTCCACGCTACCAGGCATTTAGCAGCAGTTCACACGCACCGGCAGGAGCGGAGCCCGCAGGTCACCACGGCAAGCTCTGATCTGGTGTCACAGGTACGCTCCACACTGTAGCTGCCCACACCCGCGTCCTAAAGGGTTTTCCCATTCCATTTCCAGACTCTTCCAGCTCCAGTAACTCTTAACATATACAGATATCCATATACATTTTTTAATTAAAATGCTCCTTCACATACACAATCATATATTGAATTATCAAGAACAATAATATATTCCTGGAGCAGAATAGCAAAACGATCTGCTCTGCCAGTGCCACCCACAGACTAGACAAGTAACCAAGAAGAAGTTTGACCGTTTCAGACCGCTTCGGAAAGAGCAATTCTCTTGGCCTAACAACGGAGGAGCCATGCGGTGAGAGTGCAATGGAGGATACCATAAATGCAATATACAGAAAAACACAAGTTGTTAAAAATGTTTTCTTGCAAAGATTCTGGAGCCATAGGGAGAATCCTTATCATCAGGAGCAATCTTTACAATTTCAGAAACATCCGACAGCATTAAAGCAGAAAAGAGTACGACGCTGCAAATAAAGAGCTACGCAAATGCTGCAAGACTGGTTTTGGCCAAAAGCTCCACGTCCTTTAATACACCAGGGTGGATACTAAATTTCAAGAGCGCATCGGATTTACAAAAAGCCATCTCTGCCAAGCTTCTGGAAGACAAAAGCTCTTGTCTGTGCAAACATCCGACTCCGTAATGGACTTCGAAGTCTCGGCAAACAAAGCCCAGCAGCACTGCAACGGAAAGCCCTCCTCGCTAACGGAAAAAAACCAGGCAAAACACAAACCACCCAAAAAACCAAGGAAGGGAAAGAAAAGAGAAGGCAACTCTCTTCTAAGAGTTCTATTGCAAACACCTGGAAGGGGAGACAAAAAAAAAAAATCGGAGCTGAGAGGGGAAGCA